GTTGATAGGGTAACATCTTTAACTTTCTGCTTCTTTTTCTTGCTTAAATCCATGCTCAATAGATATTATTTTTTAATAAGGTAAAAATGGTAATAATAAGTTCTCTATAAGCTTGTGGATGCATTCTGTTACCCCTGAGGAAGAAGCAGAGTGCAAATACCTTCTCATGGGACTCAGCTATGTAGGGGTTTTTTTCAGCTTTTTTCCAGGCTATACGTGTTTAAAGAGGTAGAGGCTGCAGCATTTGGGTTTCTGCAGCCTTCTAAAGTAGTCTAGTGAAAGGTCACATTTCAGTTGTTACCACCTTGAAGTAGCAGGAGAGCACACACTGTGAATTGATGCTGACATCCAGGGTGAGGTCCTCACGCGCCTCTCCTGCTGGTGGGAAAACCTCTAAGGGGCTCATCTTTGTCTCTGCCATCAAAGCAAGGTGGTGAATCAGACTGGAGGCAGCCCAAGGGTTTATATGCCTGACTAGCAGGGATTCACTTTTAAAATAATCAGCCTCTTTCTCTATGCCAAAAAAAAAAAAAAACAGTAGGAGCAGCAACTGGCAACTATAGCAGTAAAATACTTGTATTATCTGCTAAAGAAATTGTGGGTCTTTGGCATTCCAACACTCTGATAAAAAGTTAAGAAAAAACCTAGTGGTTTTGTAAAGTGAAAATCTACAACAGATGTCATGTAACATCAAGATGAAGTGAAAACAGTACTTGGGCCCTGAGGCACTCGGTACTTCTCATTTCAGAAGGAAATAAAAGTGAACTTCCAATCACAGTTAAGTTTGGGGAACACTGTGGAAGAATCCCTGGCTGAAGAAGTGGGGGTTAAAAAGGATGCAGCAAACATTTTAGGATACTCACAGTGTTGGAGAATAGTAGGAGTAGAGATAGCTCCAATAGGCTTTCTCCTGCTTTGAAGTTGTTCCTCTTTCCAACAAACACTGCGCAGTACTTAAACATGGGATGTTGTAAAATGTTGTAACCTAACAGCAAACCTGCACTCTTATCTGTAGGGGCTTGATTTGGTGAGAAATTGAAATGCAATTTATTTTTTTTCCCCTTCCACAGTGAAGTACAGGCTTGTGAATCTGCTCTTTGTTTAGCAAAGGGAAGCCAGTGGCTTTTCCATGGAATATTCTCCATGTCTGTGATGTTGTCTTGCTGATTTTTGTCTCTCCTGCCTATGGAAGCTAAAAACTAGGCCCTGCTTCAAATTTCCAGTGTGTGGTAGTTAATTACAACACACATACTCTTAATAAAGGAATATCATTAGTTATAAAATATGTCTAGTCTGGAGGTTCATGGGTAGGGGATGGAGAGTCCAGGGCTGTTGCCAACTGGACAACTGAGGCTGTGATTTTGTCCATTACTGTGTTTTCTATTTATGTACCTACAAAGCAGAGATGATAAAATTTGTCTGTGTCCTAACTGCTTTGAGCTCTTAGCAAATATTTATGAACTAGGTGCAGACTTTCAGGAGATGAGTAATCAAATTTCTCCATCTTCTAGAATCTTGTCTCTTCCCACTTTAAGTAGCTGTGTCTTTCAGTCTTGAGAGCACTTTCCAGTGGAACTGTTGAAATTTAGAACAAATACTTTTATGCTATGGGAGCACATTAACCTCATGTTAAACTTTGCTTCATCTTCCCCACTTCACCTTATGCTCATGTTGTGTTCTATAACACCTCCTGACATTTAAGATTAACTGTAGATATTAAAGATTATTGAATTGTTCCCACTTGAATAAATGGGAACTTTGCCATTGGTTCCTCTGCAAATAGGATCAGGACCTGGACAGATGCATGTAATGTCTTGTAAGACACGCTAATATCTTTCTTCCTGAACAAATAGGACTCCATGTACTTCTGAAGCTTGTCCTCCAGCTCCCTGTGACATGCCAGCAACTACTTTTTCACCTGTCCAGTACATTATAATGATCTTCCCATTAATTTTCTGGAAACAAAATCAGCAATGTGGGATTGACCAAAAGACTCTCAGTCACAGGTGCTAAATTATACCTGAGTACAAAGGAAAATGCATTAAATCCACAGGAGAACCCAATGAATTCATAATGAGCTGGTGCTGTCACCTTAATAAACAAATGCAAGAGAAGGCCTTACAGAGGTGGCCAGAGCTCTTGTTCTTGAGGATCTACAGGCACAATAAATGTTACTGTGATTTTGATTCAAGTTCTACTTAAGTTTTGTTTAAATGGTCATCACAGAGATGGTAAAAAAATGAAGTGTAAGACTTTATCTAGGTCTTGTTTTTCTGGAGTGCTACACGTAACCCGCAGGTGTTCCTAAATACGTTAGAACTATACTTCCTGCAGCTCAGAATTTCCTTGAATCAGGGACAGGATTTTCGAAGGAAACTTAAAATCTCAGGATTTTATTTCCCTTACTCCTGCCCCACCAGGAAGCATACTCTGCAGTACCGGAGTCTTAAAAACATGAAGTTATGCAGGGGTTTTTTGTGAGCCCAGGCACCACACCCCGCACTCCAGTGACTTTCATAGAAGCTTAGCAGTCACCTGGAAGTACTTGGTGGATTGTGGCAGTGTCTGAACTAGCTTGAGATCCTGTGAACTGTAAAATGTACATCACCAGTACCAGAGCATATCACCTTCGGATTTAGCAAGGGCTAAACCAGCTGCTGAATTCAGAGGAAGATGTAAGCTGAGCACTAACTTACATTTTCAGGTGTAGAGATGGCACACTGCCCTGTCAGTGCCCTACTGACATTCCTCCAAGACACTTCAAAGCAGACCAACAGCAATAAAGAAAAATGGAGCCAACAAGACTGAGTTTGTCCCTGACCTGTTTTTCAATGAAGCCAGAATACATGTTCATTTTCTGTTCCATCCTGTTCCTGCAATTTACCTTCAGATAACCAAAATTATGCACTTTCTCTGAAAACAAGCTCTGAGGGCCTATCCCCAACAGACCACGTGTTTAGCTATACTAAATAAGCAGAGAAAGTGCATCATATCCTGCCTGTCCTGCCACAAACTGACTCTGTTCGTAGAAAACACAGGCATGTTTGTCTGTTCTAGCCTGAATCCACTGGATTACTTTAAAGCAGCTTAAACTTGCTTGTTTTGACCCCCGGAAGGCCAGGCACTGCAGGTCTAATACCCAGGCCCCATTTCCAGACAGGCTGACAGCACAGGCATTTTTACTGGTATAAGCAGCAGCACAAAGAAAAAGTAAATAAATGTCCACTGAGCAGTGACCTTGCTAAATTACAGCAGGTAGCCTGAGCATCTGCTGCAGGCAGCACTTACAACGGGATCATAGGAACACACATTAGCTCTGGAGTATTGATCCTGCAAGGATCAGTGGAAGGACATTTCAATGAGAAAATGAATAATTCTTTGCTCTGATTAATGATGATTAATTCTGTTATGTCAGCAGCCTTTGGCACTGCCAGTGACAGCAGACTTCATAAGGGAAAAACCTAATTCAAGAGCCAAAAACCTTCAAGAAGAATTTTGTGCATTTTAAGAAATAATATTAATAAATTACACAGAAGCAGCTATAATGTTACATATATGCAGAAACACATACACTTTCCTCAGTTCTGTATAAGACTTTGTACTGATGTATAATTGTTTTGTATTTGGAACATCAGCCAGGATAAAAAACTGGCATTGTTGCTGGAATTGACCAGCCAGATGGACTCAACTTGGAAGTCTTTGGACCATATAAAGTTGAGCAGAAATTCTCTTGCAGGTGCCAATTTCACAAATAAGTGATCAGTGTTGAACTGGCAGGCATTCTGCTTCCCTCATTTCAAATTTGGTTATGCAAAAGACTAATCAAGACATCTATCAGGTACATCATTTAAGATGGCTCTTCGCTAACACATGAAATTGGGAGGGCCCTGGAGTTCCAATCTTTGAAGGGGATTTGGCTTTCAGACAGTGCATTAACTGATTTCCTCTCCAGTTCTGAAGGCATGTACTGACCAGTTGTGTTCCTTTCTCCCACAGACTTTTTTCCCTCAGGTGCCATATCCAAGTTGTGCTCTTTGTCAGTTTGTTTTTGTCTTGGATGCATTCCAGCTCTTGTCTTTCATGCGTTTGGTACAAGATGCATTTAGGAGGGAAATATTGATGCCAGGTTCTCCAACCCTGTTTTGTTAGGAAATGTTCATTTGGCAGTCCTAACATCACTAAAAATTATCATCATAGGGATATGCTCTGCCAACATATGACCTTTAGCTGTTAAGAAACAGTAGAGAAAGCACCACAAAAGCAGGTAATGCAATAATCAGTTCAGATATTTGACAGATAACAAGAAATGGCTCTCTTGCATTAAAGCATGGCATTTAGAAAGCTGGAGCAGCACTTTAGGTGGCTGCCCTGCTGTTGTGATCTGTCAGCTGTAAAGCATTCCCCTAAAGAAGGAAAATAAACTCCACGACTTAGATCTGTACATTGGTAATTAACACGTTGACTTTCAAACCAGAATCACTGCAAACACTACTGCAGGTGTCACCTCCTTGCTCAGATGTGTTGATCATTTGCCTTGTACCAGCACCCTTGCACAGAATAATATTTGGACCCAGCACTTTGAACCTCGCTGTGTTTTCTCACCTTATCAATTCATATACGGGGTTGTTTCCTATCTGATTTTATTCTGTGTGTGTTTCATATGCAAGGAAAAGAGCTGAAGGCTGGACACGGAAGAAAACAGTCTCTTTTTGATCTAATGAGAAACTGCCTTATAGATTTTTGTGGCAGAGAGGATACATGAACATTTTTATTGCCATAAAAGTTTTGATTATCTGGGGTGAACTTGTAATGACTGCATATAGCCCCACCAATTAATATCTAACACTAAAAATGCTGAAAGGCTGATGGGCAAGTACACAGAAAAATACATTAATCTGCCATACCTACATAAACAAGGAAGTTATTTTAGTGTCCATTCACACTTTGTACACAACCTGCTTTCCAACTATTCAAGGGAGATCAATATTTATGACAGTTCATTAGAGAATGCAGTTGACTTTTATTGTGCAGACCAAAAAAAAAACCGCAGTCACCAACCCACCACTGCATTAAAGTATGAAATCAGTTAACAAAATGATTGTAAAAAATAACTTAATCTCTGATGAGCAAATGGAAGCAAGTTCTACAGCTCTCCCACATTCCCATGTTGATACGAGAAAATGGCATTGAACCATTATACTCAGTAACTCAGGGACACAACCTTCTGCTGCTTAGGGGAATAGAAGTATTCTGATTTTTTCCCCCAGTCCCAGAACCATTGGTTCATATAAAAGAAAAGTCCCCCTTGGAGTTACAGCAGAAGTCCCACACTGTTAATTCTCTAACTTTGATATGTAAGTACCTGATAGAGCTATCCTACTGGCGTGTACACAACTCAGTGAAGCATCGCTTGGCTCCTTCCAAGTGTTTTTAGCTTGCCAGCATACTAGGCTTAATCTTCTGATTCCTCATAATGTGCATACCCACTAGCATAGGTCCTTCCTAAATTCAAATTGCTGAAGACATCCGTGGTCTCAGAATCTGAATCCTTCCCTCCCTCATCATTGTCATCTTCATCATCATCTTCTGCTTCGTATTCATCATATTCATCCTCACGGTCACCTGCATCTCCAGTCTTGCTGGAGGAGAGGTTTTTCCAGTAGGCATCATAACCAGAAGCTCCATCTGCATCTTCTCCTCCAGTCTGTCGGCCAAACTTCAAGGAGCGGGCTGCAGGCAGAGAAAAACCATCATGTTCCCACCCCTCAACAGCAATCCCCCGTTCCCTTTCTATCCCTTTTTTCACTACTTGAAGAGCGCACGATGTTAGGCAGTCTTTTTCTAAATCTGACATTTCCAGATTGAATCCTTACTCTAACAGAACCTTTCTGCTGCTGCACACGGAAGTGCAGCCAAGTGTGTATAAACAGGAACTGCCCCCCAAGTATGTCTTAGGTTTTTAGGATAATCCTTTGGTACTCTAGCCAAGAACACCTGCGACTGGACGTGTGCTTTGCAGACACAATGCATATGGTGATTTATTCAAGAGTGGTTGGGGTAGATTGTGTACATATCAAAACACATTTTGAAATTCACTAATCAGCTTCTTGTACATGAAATAAGGACTTAAGTGGAGATTTTTTTTTTTTTCATTTTTTTCCACAACTAAAATCTTAAACTAAACAAAAGCTTTCACTGTATTGGAATCATTAATGATTAAGAATGGGACTGTTCAATTCTATAATTCAGAAAGTTTTTCCCAAAACAAATGCAGCAAAGCTGTGCAAAACAATTAAAAGTAACCAGATTTTACTCAGTGTTCCTAGGCAGAAAAGTAGTCACCAATGGCACTTGTATGGCTTGTTAGCTAGAGAAGCTGGCTTACTTGACATGCTCAGATCCTTTGTCTGCTGAGTTTCATGGCCACATTTAGGGCAAGGAGGCTCTTTTCCTTTTTCCTGCTTGAAGACCTTACTTCGCACATGGTCGTCACAAAAACAAGCCTGTGGGTTGAAGGGAGAATAAAAAGGCTAAATGTTTTAATCATAGAAGCATATTCTTCAGCAAGAAGCAAGCAGAAAACCTGTTTTAACAGCAGCAGGGTTTTCTGGTTGGGATTAAAATGTAATGAGGTCTATCTGCAGTGGATGTGGGTCTGTGCACAGCACCACCACTCTGTGCTGAACGTAGTTCCACAGCTTCCTGGGGAAGAGGCTGCACAAAAGTGCCAAAAAACAAGCAGAGAAAGTAATGTACTCGAGGGCTGGATTGTAGTGCTGCCCACGAGGATCCTGGCAAACCTGGGTTTACACTGACAAGCCTAAATAAAACACAATGAGATATTTGCCAGAACATTATGCAGTGGCCTAAAGGCAAGAATTAGAGACGGAAAGTTCACATGTTGAACACCAGGATGCAGTGAAGATACCCAGAGAAAGGAACAATTTGGAATATGCCATCGATGCCATGGGAGAGTGCAGGGAAACATATGGAGGGGAAGAAGAGTAAGAGCAGGCAATGAACCAGCATCTGGAGAAATCTGGGCAATGCTGACGATGAAGCAGGTGGAACTTTTTGTACAAAATTATTTCTGAGTGTGTAAAACCATGAGCCTGATGTCAACAAGTTAGTCTGTTCACATGTAAAACTGGATTAGCTGTGGAGATTATTTCTGTTGGATCCAGGCTGCAGCAATTTCTGCTCAGATTGACCGTTAAACGTGACTGTTTAAAAAAAACAACAACTTTTTTAATTATTGTAGATCCACACTGTATCAAAACATATTACAAAGCTTTGGATTCTGTTCAAAGCCAAGGATTTGTTTTGTTGTTTTGTTTTTTTTTTTAAAGACCCAACATAGTACAGGCCCAATTTAAACTAAGAGGGCTGGACAAAGTGAAGATCACCTCAGCTGGCATAACGATGCACAACACTGGCTAGTGGTTAACAGGCAAGCACAGATTTTGCCCCCAGAGGTCTGCCCCCTAAAATATAATACAAAAATATTACATTTTTTTAATAATGGAGAGGAAGACATGACAAGACCTGATACCAGCCTTGGAGACCAAGAAGAATGAACCTAAAATCACAGCTACCCACAACTGTCTTTACCTTACAGCGCAGGCATGAATGCTGCCCAAGCCTGTTACAGGAAACACCTGTTGGAGAAAATCAATATGTCAAATTCAGTACTTGGAAACTGCAGACCTGTGATGTGTTTAAAACCTTGTAAAAGTATGTAATACCATTACTGAGGCATTTGTTTTTAATTCCCTGACATAACTGTACGTTGGCAATGTGAATCAGCCATTTTACCATATAGTACCCTTTTACTAGATTTTTTTTTTCAACCCTAAGCCTCATGGCATTAATGTAATCTGATACCAAAAAAAAAAAAACAACCTCAAGAGGGGAAAAAGTTTAATTATTTCTTGAGCTTCCAAACTTTTAAAAACAGAAGTTTCAGAAGAAATTTGGTATTAAGTGACCATCTTGCCTCTCCTTTTCTCACAACATCAAAAGAAGGAGTGCTAGCGACGTGAGAACACTTAAAGCTTGCAAACTTCCAAACCTAGAAATGTTAGGTTCCATATTTTCTGTCATATCATCTGGAAATGCAGTGGATTGCACACAAGTTCATATGAAAGTCTATCTGTGTTAAAGAACTGGACCTGGCACACAAGCTATAAGGAGCAGAATCAGTGCACAAAATCTAACTTGTCTTGAGCTTCAAATTGTTTTTTTACTCCACTAGAGGGAGTACAGTAAAGGCAAACACTCAGGAATTGGCAGAAACGTGAAGCTGGGTGAATAGTTACTCCTCAAGAAGCAGTAATATGTATTTTATCAGTCTCTGTGTGAGTATTTATTCCCTTTCACCTTGCTTTGCCCCTGTGACAGCGAAGTTTTTGAATAATAAATATCACGAGTTCTCCACATGAGCAGGACAGCCATGGGATTTAGAGCTCTGTCATGTGCTTAAAGATGGAAATGATAATGCATTTACATTTGTCATTTCTTGAGTATCTGCACTTTAAAAAACTTCTCTCAGATAGTGATGGGAAGTAACACTACCCTTTTCACAGCTAGAATGGATTTAGACTACAATTGCACGACCACATTTAAAGTTTCTGTATTCTGTAAAAGTACAGGTTTTATAATCTTGCTACCACACACTGATAAAAATCCTGTATCTTTTCCAAGTCAGTGCTGTGCCACAAAACATTGAACGCAGTGAAAAAAACCTCAAAAAAACTTTTGCCCTATTCAGGGTGTGATCACATCTGTGAATTAAAAGCTTCCAACAATCATTGAAAAAACATTCTTGTGGAACAGCTGTTGCTGCTTCAACATTGCTATGCAGGAAGGTATTCAGGCAGAATACATCAAGGGAAGCTAAGGAAGGCTCAGAGAACAGCTGGCTGGGAACAAAAGGATGGGAGATGAAAAAGAGATAAGAGATTTCTACAGACAGCAACTAGAACATTGAAATCAACAAACATTCTAAACCAGGAGAGATAAATTAGGACAAGAGATTGGTCAGTTCTAAAGAAAATAGTCTTAAGATAAAGAGCACCTTGAATTTCTACAATAATGATTGAAAAAAACTTTATAGTTAAAATACAGGCAAACAAGTTTTAGAAAGGACAAACAAATGTCTCATGAGATAAACTAAATAGTCATTCATGGTGGATAGAGAAGAAATACTTCTACAAAAATTTAGTTATTTCAAACATGCATAGTCTTGGCTTGTTGGTATTTTATTTTGTGGGTTTTTTTTTTTAACTTCCCTTGAAATTTCCCTGTTTGAGCCAGAATGAGCAGTGAGTGAGCAAAGTCAGGCATTGCCATCATGTCCTCTTATAAACACCAGTTTCAGTTTTGTCCACACAATTAATCAAAGTTCAAAAGGACATAAAGTCTTCAGCTACCTGTTCTTTACCCATAAGAGTGGACATGTATCAACACTTGATACATTACTGATACACGTCTACTGGTCAATGAGGAAATGAAAACTGAAATCATGCTCTGGACTATTTTTGTCACTTCCTTCTGTGTTCACCGTGTCTCCCTGAATCAGAGGATGGCTCCTGACTGAGTCATGGCCTTCCTCAGGACTTCAACAGCTGCCAACTCTTCATCAACACACAGGCCTTCCACAGCAACGTGGGAAAGTTTAGCCAGTCTAACAGAGGTGGCATTGTTCAGGGTAGCTGTTTTCCACGAGGAACAGGTATCTAGAAATAGCTCATCACATGGTCAGAAGAGTGGAAGACAGCTCCTCCTGCCTGCAGAGCTTTGTGGAGTAAAAAAGCAGCATCAGCAGCTCCAGCTGTTTTGCTGCAGTCCTGGCCACTGCCAACACTCCAACTTTGAAGACTGCTGGCTCCTGCAAAGGCAGCTTCCCATGGGAGGCCTGTAAGAGCCTGGCAGGAAAACAACTGCCATGTATACTCTGGCATGGAGGAAGGTCAGAGACAAAAGTTCCAGTCTGGATAACTGAATACCAAGAGCTGGCACATACGAAAAAGGCAAAAGCTGGGAAAGGTGATAACAGAGTATTCTGGAGCACAGAGGAAGCAAGTGGAGACCCTGCTTAGCTGTGGTGAAAGGGACTATGAATAACTAACTTACATTTAAATGTCTCTGCTTCCAGAACTTGGCAGCTGGCTTGATGTTCAAACTGATCGTCTTCACAGAGGAAATCATGGCAAAAAGAGCAGGCGAATATTCTGCCTCCTGAAAGATTTATCAAGGCAAAATAATCAGCAATGGGCACAGGCATCAAGTTCTGCTCTGCAAACAGTTTAGGCAGTAATTCTGACGGAAGACCAGGTCTCCCTGGCCTCACTAATGCTTCAACAAAGTCCTAAATTAGGCACTGCCATCCATTTTTACACTGACAAATACCTTGTTTCCTACAATACAAGACAGCATAAATATAAAAAGAGTATTACTTCTAGTACTTTTCTTTAATTCAACTATAGCATTAAGTATTTTCCTTAAACCAGATCATATTCTCATCCAGTCTCCTTCCCTCCCACCCCCTTAGCTCTGATATGAGCTTGGAATAAACACTTTAAAGGATTCCACAAATCGAGACCAGGATGGTTTGCTAAGCAATTTGGAATCCAAATACCTGTGCTAGTGCAGAAGAACAGAGTGGGAATGGCAGAAGACTCTGTTGGCAATTTGATGCAGTGCTTAATTATGCAAATAATTAGGCTGATAGAACCACTATACTTTAGATGACACAATCATCCCTGACTTGAGCACTGTATGTTCTTGAGCAGGTTGTTTAGTTTCCCCACTGCATAATGTCTATTTTTAAAACAGGGAGAATCCTTGCTTTGAACAAACTTACGTGCAAGGACTAATCAGTGAGGAATAAAAACACTGTTAAGAATAAAGGTGTAGTATCCTAAGCAACACAATTTACATTTTCTTATTTTTACACGTGAGCAACCTACCATGGTCCCAGACACTTCTTTCACACTCAATACATTCTGCATCTGCGAGAGGGCAGATACACGCGTGTGTGCTGAGACACTTCCTCCCGTGACACACCCAAGCTTCACAGAAATCACAGATTGCACCCTGCAATTACAGAAAGATTATCACCTCTGGACTTCTGCAATACCTAGAGAGACACTCTGACTCCTCAGTCCTCAATGTGTCCTCGTATCCCTTCTCTCAGTGGGTTCATTTCGGTTGACTGGGAGAGTATTGAACCGCATCTGTATTCCTATCAAGCTGCTCCTCAGTTCATCTTGTTTGTTATTCATTTCTGCAGGACTAAATATGATGCACAATAACTTGCTTTTCCCCTTTTTCTGTCTTTTACATTTATTTTCTTAAATTGGGTGCATGAAAATTTTGTCCTCCAGTTGAAACCTGAGATCCACAAAGGATAACAGTGTTTTAGCAAAAATGGAATTTCAAAAAAGACATGAAAAATGCCAATAGTTTCTTACAGCTGAAGTCACTCATTCAAATTTTAAACCATGCTATATTAGAGCACATCCCTGCAGAGAGCAAAGATCAAATAACTCATTAGAAGTAAGTTAGACTCTTTAACTTTCATTTTGATTAAATTACAAGATCTTCACATCAGCTGTCCTTAAATGCAGCATTTAAGAAGCCTCCTCAGCCCATATGTAACTACCATGTGCATTACATGCACACAAAACTAAGAAAACAATGTGAAGGCAAATTAATTGTTGAGGCATTCACTACTGCATGAGTGAATGCATGGGATGAGTTCAAGAACATCAGAATGTAAAGGCAAGCTGTGTTACTGAGAAAAGCTGATTGTCAACTGGAGGTGGAAACAGGACAGAGGTTTAGTCCACACAGTGCTTATACTAGAGGCTGTCACATGTCAAACCTTGCTTTCCAGAATGTCCTTCTTAGAACAAAAATTCAAAGGTCTGAAGCTATGATTATCTCCTTTAAGAGCCCAAATGAGGGTTTATGTTAAGTAAAATTCCTCCCTAACACTATGGAACAGATTCCTCTCTGTGATACAGATGATCTCTGCAATACTAAGACAACAGCAACAAAAGTCTGCAGGTCTTTGCAGAATGATCCTGGATTGTAATAAAGACTGAGAATTGGATATGGGGCATGTAAGCTCCAATGCTGTTCATGCATGTGCTTAAGAGCCTGCCACCAAGACAGATTCACTAGCATCCAGGATGTGTTGGAGCTTGCAGGAGCTGAATCTAAAAATGCAAAATTTGGGTTTTCAGTATAAGGGAAAAATCAGTTTCTTATAGTAAAACAAGGGGGAAAAAAAACTTGGCACGGTACATGCTACCATTCCATAAAGCTGTTCTATCTTCTTTCAGAAAGATTTGCACAAAATAACCTCATACTGCTAAAAAGGCTTTAATTTTGTATACATACCACCATAGCTAGTCCAGTACCGTACACACCAGCGTGTTTTATGACACAGTCTGAAGACTTCATCATGCATTTGGTTTTTCCTGTTTAAAATAAAAAGGCAAGCAACCATAAGAAAACTATAGAAAAAAACAGTAGAATGCATGTTCATATAAGAACAGCACTTCACTAAATACCTGAGCCTAACTGTAAATCTAGGTAAAAATAATGCAAATAAAGATGTCTGAATTATTGCTGCATCCTGCAACCCACTTTCACATCTCCCTTAGGTTAAATTATTGTCTCTTTTCAGCCCAAACCTCTTGCCCCTGTACTGAAATAAAAAGGCAATGTGTTGGTTTTGCTCTATGTTTTGAGGCACTGGCAAAAAAGTCAAATGTCAAAACAAACCAAAGAACAAAACTAAGGTCAAAGTCAAGTCATGATATCTTAAAAACCTGTATTTAAAACTGCTGCTGGTTCTGTCCCATCATAAAAGCAGCACATGCTGTGTGCAAGGCACAAGAAAAAAAAAACGTGTTTAATTACTTGCAAGTACTTGGATACTTGGTTTTTTCGGTCATTGGTTGTTTTGTTGGGTTTTTTTTCTTTTTAAAAAAACATAGATTAGTTTCTAGAAAAAATAATTCACTTTAAATACAGAGGACAGGAGAAAAAGCCACAGACTGCACCTAAAAGTCATTCTGACACAAGCAAGCAGCAAGGGTGACAATTTTCCCCTAGTCCTTGTCTCTGACATAAATAGCTCTACCAGAAAGATCCACACTCTGTCTGCAGTTATACAAGCAAAAAGATCTTGTAGTCAGCTCAGGCTACTGCAGTGGAGTTTTATCACTGATTCAAGTTGTGCTGCCACGGACCCCTTTGGTGTGTCTGTTATTGCCTGCTTAGAGAAACCAACAGCAAGGTGCTCCCTGCCCACCCACTCAGGCCTGAAAAACCAAATTCTACTCTGAAAATATTTAAATCCCAGTATGCAGAGTTTTGTATCACACCAAAAGTCAGTTACCAAAGGGCCCTTGGAGGGTGAGGAAGTACCAGTGGTTGGCTGAGCTAGGCAATGAGGGGTGAGGGGGCATTACTCAGTCTGGAGCACTGTAGTACAGCTACCTTGCTCCCATCCCTCAGGGACTTCTCTAAGAAAGGTGCTGTTGGTTTTTAGTGTCTGTCCCCAGTGCTTGATCAAGCATGAAACAGCTCTGGTGGTCTTTGTTTGGAAAACCCTTGGACTCAATATAATTTTATGGTTGTTGATAGGAATGCTTTTCCTCTAGAAACATACTCCAGATTAAAATAAACTCAACACACAGGAGTCAACTTCATATGTGTATCATAAGACAGAGAGCATGTTTTTAGTACTTCACTGCATGATGACAGAAGGAAGACTTATGAAGGATGACACACTGCCAGTGCACACTAACAGCCTGGCTCCCAGGAACGCTCAGAATCTGCAGGTCACAACAAAGGCACTGGAAGCTGCAGATGTCAGCAGCTCTGAGAGTCAAACAACAAAACAGCCAAATTGCTTAATGACAAATTGAAAATCTGCAAGGATGTGTTGGAACAGTGAAACAACAAAATTCACCTCTAAGAAATGAATATCGACATCTCCTGCAAGCAAGCAGCTGTTTGAAAACAAAGGGCATCTTAGTCTGATTCAGAGCAGAGCTCCATCACTAGGAGTCCTTTTCTTCTAATTTCAAAGCATCAGCCCTCTAGCCCATATAAATAAAATAAGCAGTATACCACATTACAACCCCATGCAAGATGAATAATGTACTGTTGCTTTAATTGATATTGAACTGACTAGAAATTATATAATCCCTAAAAAAGCAGTATTTATTGGTGACTTGCCAGCAGTCAGAGCATTCCTAGTTTTGCTACCATTACCAAACAATAGTCCACATGGTAAATGTAGGGAAACAGTCAGATATTCTCAAAGCCAAAAGGCAGTGAGACAAATTCTTCCAAAGATCAAATGCTGAAGACAAGCCCAGACTTGCAAACCTCTGGAGGTCAGAGGCACACACATTAGTGCATGACCAAACAAGGTCACTTCTCAAGGAGGGTATTCACAGCAGATTTAAAAGAACCTGCTCCACAAACCACAAAGGTACTTCTAGACAAAGGTACTCTAACAAAGGTACTGAGAGTTTAACACCACAAACAGGACTGAGGACAGTTTTCATTCATTAATTCTACTCACCACATTGTGCACAAATGGGTAATTTCTGAACAGAGTTACAGAAGTAGCAAAAAGCTCTGTTCTTCTGTCGTCTAGGCACATGGAGAAGGAACCAAAAGAAAAAGAAAGCAAGCATTAAAAAAGACCCATGAAATGTTTGAAACCAATTAATATTAAAGTACTGGTTTTAGAAGGGGAAAAATTCTTACCTTTGGCACTTATCACATTCCTAAAAAGAAGAAATAAAACACTGGTAATTATTTTCATTTTAGGTAAAATATATAAAATTTGCAGACACCCACAGGGACTCTGAATTCTTATGATTAGGATCCAAACTTTCTATTCAATATTATACATCTAATGCAAATGTAAGCTTAAATATAAAGGAGGAACAGTAGGAATAATGACATTCTTATGGCATTAAATACATTTATGTATTATCACCGGTTTAACATGATTTCAAATAACATATTTTAATATAAAATACTTTAGGTTATATTACCATTGAAGCATTACAAGGATGTTTGGCCAAATCTATGTTGGCTCTTGAAGCCCTTATCTGCTTTTCACGTTCTCGACGGTTCTCAGCTTTCTTACGAGCACCAGTCTTCTTTTTAGGCATATTCACTATCTGTGGGGGGGAAAATAGGTATGTAATGAATGCACACAGAATTATGTATGTAAGTACATGGATACACATGACACATCCACTAAAACTGCATCTTGGAGTTCACAGGTTAACTGGGCTTCATTCATTTCCTTTTCTGAAAGTTTCTTTTCAAAGGCAGAAGGGGCCAGTCCATGAGGAAGAGCCATGTGATGAACCATAAAGAATCTTGTGATCTGAAAAAGACTGTGCTGTCCTCAACTTTGTGTCGAACTATCTTTGAAGTGTTCTGTCTTGGAAAAAAAAGGAAACCACTGTTTGTGGGCTTGTTTGTGATAGGCCTCTGGTTTTGGTTTGACTTGCCTGTTTAATAAGGAAAATATTCAGCTCATTTCCTCTTTCACATCTTATTCTCAGTAACTGCTTCATTCAGTTAAAAAGCATTCTTCAGGTAAGCAAAAAGTGGTGCACTGCAAAAACGAAAATTTCACACTTCATGAAGGCTGAGAAAACAAAATGTCATTATACAGATTTAAGAGCTATGACAAAGGGATGTTTGTACTGCTTATTTATCATTCTAGCATATTGGCAATAATGAAGAGATGAGCATGCATTGCTTTGAAGACATCACTGTTTTCCAAAAAGGATTTACACTAAGTTAGTTCCATTTGGTTCCATTCTAACATTCTAGGAGGGAACCAGCGCAACACAGTGGTGAGACCATCAGGCAAACAATCAGACCACTGGTCTCTTGCCATGTCCACAATGAACTGTGCAGTACTCACATATGTTTAGTTTACTTTGTGTTTATAATAAATTAGGCAAGGATTATCCTGACTCCATGAAATGGACAACTGAGAGATTCAAGGTGTGGCCTGATGTAAGAATTTCTCTCGTCATCACAGGCACTTCCTTGAGCTCCATCTTTATCATCCCCTTATTTCTGATGATGTAACTGTTCTTGGTGTCCTGTTCTAAAACAGATACAGGTTAAAAACAAAACTAAAAACAAACCAACAAGCACCACCAAGGCCCAGATTAGCACAATCTGATGGTGGAAGACGGTCAAAAGGGGCAGCAGTTTACTTAGCAAGCATGGGAATGAGAAAGCAGCTAAGGATGAGGTGATGATCACTGACAAAAACTTGCCTGTTCTAAAAAAATACTCTCAATTCTATGAACCAACTTCTTTGTATTGCAGCTACCAAATCACACTTCCTTGCAGACAATAGGATGGCTGGATCTTTCCAGGTGTTTAGCTCTTCTTTTGGTACCTCACCAGTGCTTCTGTTTTGAAAATCTGGCCTCTCCAGCAAGCTGCCCCAACACATATTGCACTTGTACAACTAACCCACAGTTCTTTTAGCTACAAGTACACCTACCAGTGGTCCTTGCTCTGCCTCTGATTTCTAAATCTGCAGAAAAACACCTTCAGACAATTGGTAATTGAGACTCAAGTGTCATCTTAACATCTCAATCTCCACTTAAGGAGTTTGAAGAAAATCACTGCAGGCTTGGAGCTTGGCAAAAACTGGCCCACATGATGAGACAGCTCTGCCAAGGCAACTTCTGCTGATTCCAGTAGGGTCTGTGGGTGGATATCAGGGCCACTGGCTTAAGGAAGTGAGAGGTACCTGCTCTCCTCCTCATCCCTAACTCCAAGCAGACATGCATGCTACCATCTGTAAGGATAGTTTCAGCCCCAACAGGCAGCCAGTTCTAGCATCTTAAACTTGGAAGAAAAATGTTCAAAAGGTCTTATAAAATAAACCGAAGAATCCTAACTTTCCTGAACACAGAAATATATTGTCCTGACCAAATACTAAAATTTGGGTTTGATAGCACACATAAATCAGTTTTCTCACCCTGCAGCATTTTGCACCGTATTTAAATTGTATTAGTGTCATATTTTGTAGTCAAAATTATACTGCTGTGCTGCCTGCTGGCAACTGTCATCATTCTAGAGCGTGACATTTCAGTCCAATATGAGGCTGCACACGAATTTTCAGACAACTCAAATGCTGATTTAACAACAGAATCTAATGGTTAGTATTTATACCTTGACTTCTTCCCATTACCTCATAATCCAAAGCACCAAAGTGACAAACTGTTTTCATGAAAAGCACTGCCTCAGTGACTACTGAGGACACAGGTTATTAGAAACCTTCTAGGTGGCAGTTTTTAGGAAGTTGCACTAAACTAAGTAACAACAGAACTGCAACATCAGGTCCTTTTAACAAAGCTATGGAGTCAATCCAGGCTTTCAGACACCATCCAGTAACAACAACATCCTATAGATCAACACTCTTATCACTCTTTTCCTCTGAGCTTCCACTTAAGATTTGTTTGTTGTCTTTGCCCTGGGTTCAAATTTTTTAGGAAACTTACCTTCTTTTAAATTCTGGATTAGAGCTTAATAGTGTTATGGTTCCAGAAATTATGACAGCATAACCTTTGTTTACATGCAATTCCTTTCAAATCAGAGTATTGTCTCTTTTGAAACCACTAATTAGTACTTAAATGCCTCTGCTGTATGTTCTACCTCCACTTTTGACACGCCTTTGCCAAATGCTCGGGCAGCAAAGACCCGGTGGAATCTGCTGGCTTTCCCATGCTCCCCTGAAGGGTGCATGGGAGAGAAAAGTGCATCTGGAAGACCTAAAACAACAGGTTATAGGTCCACGTCTGGTTCCCTCCTCAGCCCCAGAGGGTACAGCCACACTGCCCCATGGAGTGTGGGAGCCCCTGAAATGGGAAGGGTGTTTTCTCCATTTGAAGTTTCCTACTTGGGAGCAAAATGCTGGGCCACAGCAGCAGCTGCAGCAGTGAGTGTGGTTCTCCAGCTTAAGGGCTGATGCTGTGGCACAAGAAAGCGCAGAGTTCGGATATCAGAAGTGGTGTCAGGGAAGGTTTAGGTTGGGTATCAGAAAAAGTTTCTTCCTGCAGAGGATGGATATGTGCTGTAACAGGCTTCCCAGGGAAGTGGTCACAGCTCCAAGCCTGACAGAGTTCAAGAAGCATTTGGATGATACTCTCAGGTGCATGGTGTGAATCTTGGGGATGGTCCTGTGCAGGGCCAGGTATCAGGAGGCTGTGTATGAGGTGAGCAGCAGCTCAAAGCAAAAGCCCTAATATGTCTTATGTGAGTACTTGGGTCTGCAGCACCATGTTCCATCCTGTAAATTTTCAGCTCATGTGCTGCATTATTTGCTGAGGTAAACACAGGCAAAGACCACAAGCAGAACTCCCACCATAGCTCCAAAGACTGTCTGTGTATTTTAACTGATGGCTGTGCTGTGTAAGATACATTAACAACACCTGGTCTCCAAGTTCTGCTGGAGTCACACCATGCCTGTGCCTTCTTATCCTTGCGGAGGTCCCAAAGATACACACTGACTGCACCAGCAGATTTCTGGATCTCCTGTGCTGAGCAGGACATTGCCTTGTGTTGTATTATCTTGTGGTATAGGAATCACAACATGAAGAGCTGAAACAAGCAATTCATTGGTGGGGCAGGGGAGCTGGCGGGTTACCCTTGTCATCCCACAACACCAACACCCAAAAGAGGCTTTCTGTATTCCAAGCATTCTTATACTTGACCATCAAATACTTTCTACCTCACACATATTCAAAATCTGTTCTACCACTCATACAAAAATTACAGCGTTAAAAAAAAAAAATAAAAATCCGCATTAGCAGTAGTTCATAAGAATTGTCCTGGCACTGTGATTTGCCGTGACTTCATCTTTTGGAAGCAAAGCGGCTACAAACTGCACCGTGGGACCGCAGCGCCCGGGGACTGCCGCGCTGGTCAGCGCCCAGGGCTGGGGGGGCTTCCTCAGGCACCTCTCCGGCACATTCCCCGCTCGGGAGCGGCACCTAGTCCCGCCGGGAGCCCGGCGAGCCCTGCCACGGCATCACGCTGCCAACCTGGATGGCCGCGCTCCGTGCTTGCAGGGACCTGGACACGGGGAAGCCAGGCACCGCTTCGCTCGCTAGGGCAGGGAAGCCGCGGGGGACGGGGACCCTCAGCGCCCCCAGCCCACCCCCGATCGTTCCTAGCCCTCCCTCCCACTTCCCGCTCCCCTCTCCCACCTCCCTGTCGCCGTTCCCGGCTCCCTTTCCCCGTTCCCAGCTCCCTCTTCCCCGTTCCCCGCTCCCACCTGACTCCGGCGGCCGTGCGGAAGCCGGAAGCGCCGGCTCTCCGCGGTGCGCTGCCCGCCCGGCCCGCGCCGCCCGGCGCGAACGTTCCGGGGGCGGCCGCGGGGGCCGCGCCTGAGGGAAGCCGGGGAGGGAAACAAGAATCCCAGGATAGGGATCCTGCCCGTTCCCTGCACGGGATCGCAGTGCGCCCGCGAGGTGGGAGCCGGGAAATATGGCAGGTGTTCGCGCTGCAGGGAAAGGTGTTGCCAGAGTTTTGGAGGGAGGCATCATAAAACAGGAGTAGTTGGCACCTGCGTCTTGCGTGCTATGAAGCACTTGGTGTTATAATGAGAACTGCACTGGGCTGCACTTTCATGTTCTTCGATTAAAAAAGGGACACCTTCCACTAGACGAGGTTGCTCAGAGAACCATCCAACTTGGCCTTGAACACTTCCAAGGACAGCTCTGCAGGGCAGCCTGTGCCAGGGCCTCACCACCCCCACAATGAGAGTGTCCTCCTTGTGTCTAATCTAAACCTCTCATCTTTTGCTTTAAAACCATTCCCCCCTTGTCCCATCACTATGTGCCCATGTAAAGAGCCACTTTCCCGCTTTTTTAAGAGCCCTCTTTATGTACTTAAAGGCTGTGGTGAGGTCTCTCCAGAGCCTTCTCCAGGCTGAGCAATCCAAATTCCAACCAACTCCAATATAATCTCTCTACTCACTTAAAACATGCCATTGGTTTCACTGTGGTTCGGAAATCATTGAAAAAGCTGTTACAAGCTGTTTGTATGGATGTTCCTGCTCAGTGGCTGTTCCATCCTCGAGTTTTGTTTGCTTTTGTGTCAATTTGCCACCACAACTTTCGCTTGACGGAGACCAAATTTAGGACATAATAATTGCAACAATTAGTTGTGATTGTAATTGGCACCTGAAAAGTTGTCACTGAAATATTTCATCAGTGGCTCCGTTTTTGAAATGAAGTATTGATTAATCTTAATGGTAGGAATACAACGTAGTTTAAAAATGGAAATAATGCCCTTGCTATAAAAGACCCCTGTACACAGCTCTGTCTGGCCTGAGGTTATACAAGTCACTGGCATAGATGGATATTGTCTAGAAAACCCTTTGTGAAAATCATTAGAAGGTGTATTGTATAGGTATTCAATTGAAGATGAGTGCATAGATCACATTCCAGTGTATTTCACAGTCTTTTGCCTAGGAAGGGTTTGATACATATTTCATGCAAATAAGTCCTGGGGCACTGTTTTGTGTGCTTTGATCATCCATTCCCTCGGGTGGGGTGATTGTGTTGCTTCACGTTGCACTTGGTCATGCATTTCTTACTGAAAATTGGCTACTGGTTATGGAATGTGATTTTGGCTTAGTGGAAGAGGCAG